CTTGTAGACTCATTGAGAATAGGTAAGGCCAAAAGATGCTGTGAGATTTGGAGCTGAGCAGAGAAATAAGTCTACCTTTTCCCCCCTCAAACCATACCCCAGCATCCTATCCACTACAATATCCTTTGCCCTGGAACACAGTGTACACACTCCACTGTGTTCTCACTTATTCCTTTGTGGGAGGCACTCCCCTGGCTGGAAGAAAAGCCATTTGGTTTGGGTAATACTTGTTCACATTCCTAGAAGAAATGTGGAATAAGACCCAGGTTCTTTATTCCGATAGTCCCCCAATAGCTGCTTCTAGTTCTGATCTGCTTTCTGGGCACCATAATTATCAGTACAAATACTAGTGTGACTAAACAGGAGCTCGGAGTCTACCAAAAACTGCTGCTAACAGAAGGATTTCTATCAACGTGCAACTTCCTTGCCTCCCAGAGGAGTCTGAAATGGTCTCCAGACTGCTTCTACTTGGTGCGGGGGACCCCAGGACCAGCACGAGTGGGGGAGTCTGCAGTGAGAGGGGTGGGAATTCAGTGGAAATCTCCCCTCCCTATGTGCATTAGTGGGATCCAACCCATAGTTTCTTCATATTGACAGAGCATAATTTGACAAGGCCGGAAGGGCCTGGGAGCAGAGTGCTGAAGGTCAGTGATGCTTCAACTGGGTTCTGATAGAAAGAAAGGGGATCACAGGAAGAAGAGAGAAGATGGAAAGAAGATCACAGGAAAAGGGGAGACTGGAGAGAGAGAGAGAGAGAGAGAGAGAGAGAGAGAACGTTTGTTGTTGGAAGTGCCTTAAGGAAGCTCTGAAGGCAAATGAGCCAAGGGCTGAAACTCACTGACCAATTAATAATAATGAACCAGATCTTTGAGGACAAGGCTAACCTGCTAATTTGTTGCCAAAGTATTAACGGCTTACAACATCCTTCTTAGTCCAAGACTCAGGGGGAAAGACAATAACGCTAGGAAGAGTTGAAAGTAGTGGGGAAAGAGGAAGACCCAACATGAGGTGGATTGACTTAAGCAGAGGAAGCCACAGCCCTCAGTTTGCAAGACCTGAGCAAGGGCGTTAGCAATAGGATGTTTTAGAGGGCATTCATTGTTAGAGGCACCATAAGTTGAGAGTGACTTGACAGCACATGACACACCACATCCATGTCCAACTTGTTTAAAAGCAAACCTTTGAAGTTCCTATTTTATTTACTTCCCTTCTCTTCTATGTACTCCATGTACCAGTGCCCTCTTGTGAGCTTTCTGTTCTGTTTCCAAACTATATCCACGGGATAGTTTTACGCAGTTGACTGCTGCAATTAGTCTGGATCATGTTGACAAATTTGGATTTCCGAGAGTTCAAAAAACACACTGGGCAACAAATATCCCTTTTTTACTCTGGAGGAATATATGTCGGGATTCCCACTTTTGCTGGAACAAGGGAACACTCACCTTAGTGTGCATTTTGTGATAAGATAAATCTAATCGAGTTGATCGCCATCATTGAGAAAAGTGTTGAATTTCAGTTTGTGCTGAAATTCCAGCGATTGCTTTCTAGTTTGGATTTTTCTGTCCGATTATGATGCGTGTGTTTCTTCCAAATCTCATAAAGGCAGTCGCCATATACTTTCTGCTGTTTTTCTAACGCAGAACCCTCCAGCCCATTAACCCTCTGTATGCTAGATTTCCAGCAAATAACTGATGACTAATTGGCCCACTAACCTTTTAGGAGGAAAAAGAAAAGAAAAGAAAGGATGGTGACAACCCAGACTGGTATTATGAGTATGTTTCCTTGTAAAATCAGTTTGATGGCCGAGTTGCTTGTCCCCGAGGAGGCAAAATTAGCCTTGTGGGACCTCGTCTGCATAGAAACTGGACACAATTAGAGTCATATTCACTGTTGTTAATGCGGTTTGGGGTAATTGGGCAGGTTGGTTTTGACAGGTTGATGATGCTAAAATACTATTATAGGAGACCTTTCCATACATAACTGTTAAACTTGGAAAACTGTTTAATAAAATGTTGTGATTGGGCTCGCAGGGATTTAAGCTGTAATATTGTCCAGCTAAAAAGTTAACTGTTTAGTTTTGATTCTTGAATATGATCATGGTGTCTCTAACTGTATTCAGATTGGCCCTTTCTTATTCTTTCTTTCTTTGTTCTTTTTTGAGCAAAACCCCTCACATATGTGGGAGCTAATTTCGGGGTCCCCAGATGACATCAATAAGCCCCAAATCCTTGCAGAAAACATCCTGCTTGTGGATAGGGTTGTTTACCTGCTCCCCCACGGAGAGCAGCAGTTGCCCCACTGAACAGATGAGTGGCAAATTGTCATTACCCTCTTATGAGAAAACACTACCGGAGAAATCCACGCACACACACACACAGTTCAAAGCTGAAGCTGGCAACCTTGAACAGCAACCGGTTTCTCATGCACAATTTAATGGTGGGTGAGAGTCCAGATATGCTATGTGCAGTCGATGTACATGTGGCGCATGCAGGCAGAGCGGTCTAAGGCGATGTGTTCAGGTCACAGTCTCCCTGGAGGCATGGGTTTGAATCCCTCTTCTGATAAATAGCTGGTTTTCGGGAGGGGTTATGGCTCAGTGGTAGATAGGGTTGCCAACCCCCCCGTTTTTTGGGGGGGTTCTACCCGCCACCGGCCAGAAGGCCGGCGGGGGAAGCCCCACTCCCAACACCCACAGCCACCCATCTCTCTCCCTTTAAGGGTGTGCAACCCGTGTTTCATCCCAAGCGCGAATTCCACAAGCTTGCAGGGAAAAGCCAGCTTCGTTCTTAAAAGGGAAACGCAGCTTCTCTTAAAGGGGAAACGCCGGCTGCCGGCTACTTTAAGTGCAGGGAACTGCTGTTTCTGGAGATCCGGCGCACGGGGGGGGGGGCGGCAGACGTCCCCAACGTGACGTCATCACGTTGGGGATGCCCCACCCCTTCCAGGAGCGTCCCCAAAGTCCCCCGCTGGGGGTGGAAGATGGACTTGGCAACCCTAGTGGTAGAGCATTTGCTCAACATTCAGAAGGTCCCAAGTTTAATCCCCAGTTTAAAGGATCTGTCAGCAGGCGATGTGGAAGAGCTCACAGCCTGAGACCCTGGAGAGCGGCTGCCAGTCCGAGTAGACAATACTGGCCTTGATGGACCAAGGGGTCTGGTTCAGTATAAGGAAGAAGTGTGTCTTCGTGTGAAACCCGGACAGGCCACTGTAGGACGGTATATTAACACAGCTTGCTTGAGGCAGGCATGCAATCCTGTCTTTGCCTACCTCAAATAAAACCATGGGATGGACGTGTTACTGTAACCCTTCGCAAGTCTTTCTCGTCTACTAGGGCATAATCATCTGCAAGCACGGAAGTAGACAGGCTTCCTAGCTGGGCAGGGCTGCCATGTTTCCCAAATAGCACACCCCACGAATTAAAGATAGCCAACAGAAAACTTCTGTAACTCAGTTGTGAAACCCAGGTGCCTGGGTATCTATGAATAGCTAGTCCAAAATGTATATGTTGAATTGGAACTTCATTTTATTTTAGAAGCTTTTACCTACTTATAATGAACATATGCCTTGATATATATATTTTTTACCATTATTTTTTTTAGAATTGTGCTGAGAGTTCAAGATGTGATCTGATGGTATAGTTAAAGGGAGGAGTTTGTCCAGGGTGACATCATCTTCATAAGAATAAAGTGAATTTCAGAAATACACCCTGATCCAGGGGGGATCTTGGATGGGCACCGCAAGGCAGGCCAAGCGGGTGGAGGTTCCATTTCTGGGAAGCAACAGCTGCCACAGATTTTTTTTTAAAAAGTGCTCATATTCTTAAAAATATGCTCTTATTCTTTAAAAGAGAGGTATGTGACGATGTCACATGTTTAGAATACAGTTTTTCTTCTTCTAATTCCTGGATGTGAGAGAGTGCACCCACTGGCTCCGTCCTCCTGGCTACAGGCTTATCCAGAATCAGCATTTCCCATTTTGGTACCTTTGCAGTGACTGCTTGGTTATTTTGAAGTAGCCTCCCAATTCTCAGAGCACCAAAAGTGTGCTTTGCAGTCAAGGATTCCCCCCCCCCCCCCGGGGTCACAAGACAGGACTGAATTCTGTTTAACTGCTGTAGAATTACAGGTTTGAAATTGAACAGGCTGTTCCATTCCAAAAAGAGTTCTCCTTAATTTCCTCCCCATGAGATGTTAGTGGGAAAAGATGTTCTGTTTCCAAACAAAACACTGTCGCCTCCTTACCCTTGGGACATTCTGTTTCTTTCTTCGAGCATCGTAAGACAATTGCTCTGCAATGCTGCTGTCAGTTTCTCAGGAGATAGCTTGCAAATCCTTCTCTGATGTAATTCTGAGCACTCTACATTTTGTTGGTGGTGCAAATTTGCATTAACTGAGTTTGAAGTGAGCTCTGTGTGTTAACTTTGTGTTAACTTTGTGTGTGTTTGAAAATAGTGATGATAATTTAAAACAAATACACTGACATTCATACTGTAATCTCCTGGTGTTATTTGAACTCGGGGCCGCACTAAGATATGACATGGAGTTTCGTGTCTCTGTTCCCCAACTTTTGTGTGGATGAGCAAAGAGCATTTTTTGGAAGGCTGCATTCCCAAGAGGGGCTTCCTTTCCCTCACCTGCCATTGGCCCATGAAAAAATCCCCATCACTCTCCCCTGCCCCAGTTGAAACGAAGAGATAGGGCAGGGGGGGTTGCAGCACTTTCGCACACCTACCGAATAATGCACTTTCAGTGCATTTTTGTAACTGGATTTTACTGTGTGGAATGGCAAAACCCTCTTGCAAATGTTCACTAAAGTGCACTGAGAGTAGATTGAAAGTGCACTTATTCAGTGTGCGTGGAAGTGTCCTTGCCGTGGTATGTAGCTTGAACCTCAAGCAGCTATCTTGTGGCGCAAGAGAGAATAGCTTACTGGCTCATTCAAATGTAAATTTCAGTTCCTAACCTCCTTTCTCTCCCCACCCCACCCCAATTGTCTTTCAGAGCAAGAAGAAAATTTTGAATTCATCATTGTGTCCCTTACGGGTCAGACTTGGCACTTTGAAGCAACGACGTATGAAGAAAGAGACGCCTGGGTGCAAGCGATAGAGAGCCAGATTCTGGCCAGTCTGCAGTCCTGTGAGAGCAGCAAGAATAAGGTTAGAGGATGTCCTCGGCCATTCGCAAGTCTTTAAGGGTTGAAAGGAGAGATCCCTGGCATGAACCCAACCCCTGTGACCTGCCATTCCACTAAGCAAAGTTTGAATCCTTCCTCCAGTTTAAGCCTTTCTCCAATAGAAGGGCCACTTAAGTCTCCTTGGAGGACAGTTGAATCCACCCCATTGCCAGCATCTAGAATAATTGTTTTACTTATTTTATCTTGGTGTATGTTTCTCATGAATACACTTAGATTTTTAAAGGTCGTTTCCTTCTTATTCCATGTTATGTATGTTTTTCACATTTGAATGCCGATTTTATGAATTAATTGTGATGGCTGCTTTAAAATTTATCCAGAACATGCAGGGCTTTTTTTTTTCCCTGGGGGGAACGCGCCGGAACAGAGTTCCAGAACCTCTTCAACAAAATTCTTTTTAAAATGTTTAAAGGTTCATGAGTTTTCAGGATACAGATTGAAAACTTCATTTCCCTCTTGAGAATTCCGGAACCTCTTTTTCTTAAAAAAACCCCCAGAAACGACACCTAAGAACATTTTTTCCGCTACTTGGTCTGCAAAAAAAGGGCATCTAAAGGCTTTTTTTAAATAATGAAAAATGAATTAAACTGCTCCGTTACTTCCTGGAAGCCTTGTACTTCCTTAAGGACTATACAGTGTCTGCTGAAGTTATTTACGAAATCCGGCGCTGGCTTCTTTGCTGTCAATAGATGGCTAACTTTTTTTTTACTTATCAAATAATACCTGGGAATTCTGTAAGTTTTGTTAGAATGCTTTTTCTCCGAACTGTGCAGGTCATGTTTCGCAGTCTAGTTTAAGATAGCTGTGCCTAGCAGTGCCATCCTAAGCAGTGGACTTGGAAGGGATGTGCTCAGGATGGCGCAGTGCCTTGTCGATATAGTTTTGGGACAAAGAGCAGCTGACTTATTCCACTGCTGTAAGTAGGACTCTGAGTGCAACCCTGTGGACACTTACCCCAGTGAACATAATGGGGTTTACTTTTGCGTAAACATGCCTACACAATTGTGCTGCTAATCACAGCGAATTCAGACTGGGGCTCATGGATTGGGTTCAGTGGCTCCTTTCCATTGTGAAGAGTTTTCCTCTAATGAAAGGGCATCATTGTGCCCAAAATCTGTGCCTTTCAATGCGTTTTCACGCTCTGTCTTCTCCTGACACCAGGGAAGTCGTCTAATGTTTTTATTACCCCTTGGCTAGGAGAAAGGAAGCATTCTTTCAAAATGCATAAGTATGTGCTTAAATAAAACAAATTACATCAGTGACTCAGCAAGTGTTCTTCAGCCCTTAACTTAAGAGTAAAGTAAAATGAGCAGGCAACCAATTTAGGATTTCTAAAGGCGAAAGGAGACCGCATCGTGGTTTGTCTAGAAACCAGCTCACACGAAGGCACTTCCTCGGCTCCCATGGACCTCTCTGGCAAGAAGTTCATAATCAGAGAGTTGGATTTGCTCAGGACTCAGCTGGGAGTGAGGCTGAAAGTTGTCCTCTATAGAGATTATTTCTCTGGATCACGGTAGAGGTCACCAGCCAGCCAGTTTGGAGAGCGATTTGTAACACAAGCTGGTCAGCTCAGCTCTCGGGCTTTAATGATAAAATGGGCTGTTTGCCGTTGCTTGATATTCCCCCTCATAACCACAGATAACCATAAAAATAATATTCCCCCCCTAATAACCACAAATAACCATAAAAATAAACGTGGGACGGTCTTCCAAAAATACTTTCAGTCTGTAGATTTAAAAATGAGAATATTTGGCAGTCAGGTTGGGTGCTCATGGCACGCCTTCACCTCTGACAGTTCTAGTTAGATGCCATATAGACTGCCAGAAGCTCAAGAAAAGCTTCAGCCCTCAGAAAATTTGGATGAAAATTGTGAGCGGCGCTTGTCAAGACGCTGACTTGCCACAATTAAAGAAGCCGAAGCATCAACTCTCAAACCAAAGGCATCCTATTCCACAGCCGGGCTAGTTCAGCCCTCCTCTGAAACCTTTCTTTGCTTCCGCGTAGCTGATGGTAGTGCTGTCTGAGCCATTTCTTCAGGTTCTTAATGCCTTGCATGTGTGTTTCTTTAAATATACGCAGTCCCGACTGACAAGTCAGAATGAAGCCATGGCCCTTCAGTCAATAAGGAGCATTAGAGGCAACTCTCGCTGTGTGGACTGCGAAGCACAAAGTAAGTACAACTGTTTTTTCTACACAAGAAACGTTACCCTCAGCTTCACAGAACTTAGGCACTGTCTCTCAGTTGCCACATGATGTTCCAGTACACTAATGGTATCATGTTCCATGTTCCTTTGGCTAGTCCATGTTCATAAGGGAATCCGACTTGTGTGGTGCATAAATCCTAATTAATATATACTGCTGGATTAGGTTAGAAATGCCATTTTTTGTCTGGAATAATTTGGAGCAGGGAGAATGTTTTAAATTTCATATTCCTTTTTCAGTTTAGCACATTAGTGCTTTACTCCAGGAAGAGGAAACATAAGTGGTCTAAAAAAAAGTTAGTAGGCTTGTAAAGTTACCTCTTTCTTCCACTTTAATTTCATAAAGAAAACTACTTACGGTTTTTGCTTCCTTGTAGTGGGATGTTTTTTTAAAATATATTGTTTTAGCACAGTTTACACCCAACATACTGGTCAGATCTAGGCTTTATAGCTGAAACTCAGCCATTAAGATGGTCTCAGATTCCTGATACATTAACTGCTGAAGCCTGAATACGCACGTTAGGAGTAAAAAGGAGTTAATTTTTTAAATCTTGTACTTTTATATCTTGTTTGACATTGAATATGTTGGGGCCAGTTCAGCCGCCTGGGCTGTTCCTTCATAACTGAGCAGGGGCCATGGACATGCTACTAGTTTATATGGCTGCATTTGTATTAGTCATAAGTAATTAGTATCTATTACTAATAGTATCTAATGACTATTACTAAAAAGAGCCAGTTTGGTGTAGTGGTTAAGTGTGTGGACTGTAATCTGGGAGAACCGGGTTTGATTCCCCACTCCTCCACTTGCACCTAGCTGGATGACCTTGGGCAAGCCGTAGTTCTGATAAGAGCTGTTCTTGAAAAACAGCAGTTTCTGTCAGAGCTCTCTCAGCCCCACCTACCCCACAGGGTGTCTGTTGTGGGGAGGGGAAGGGAAAGGAGTTTGTAAGCCGCTCTGAGACACCTTCAGGTAGTGAAGGGCGGGGTATAAATCCAATCTCTTCTCTTCTTAACCCATGGAGCATCCTAGCAGCTGCTATAATTTTGATCCATAACACCCCAGGAAGCTGTCTCTGATGAGTTTTGGTGGAAGAATACGTTGGCCACATTCAAGAGGCTCTGTTAGTCTGTGATGGGTGCAAACACCGCTTGTTGGCGTATGCACGCTCTTTCCCGTCTCCCCTGCCCGCTTCTGCATGTAACAAGGAAATGGGAACCAAAAACTGTGATGCAGAGAGCAAACAAAGACTATGGAATAAAGGATATGAAGACTAAAACTGTGTTGTTATTATTATCATCCGTTGTATTATTTCAATGTTATCAAAGTCATATATATTTCAAGATTTTCAAGATACATGTAATTGCATTCATAATTTCACATATAAGAATAATCAACACAAGACCTGTAATATCTTTATCGAATTAATTCTAATAGAGTCCATAAGCTGGTTACTCCAAAAAGTCCAAGAGAAATCTTATCTGCAAAGTCCAGTCCAGAAAATCCTGCCTGTAATATCTGTGCAAAGGACCCAATTTGGACTGATCTGGGATGTCCTTGTGGAGAGCCCGATGTCTGTGTGATGTCCGTTTGTTTCTTCCTCACAGTTTGATCTCCGTATTACCACAGTGGCACAGCTTCTGCCTTTTTCCATGTCTGCCCCCGGAGAACTTCTATGAGATCAATGAAAGTCTTCTTTTTTAATAGGCAGAAACAACTAACCTTCCCCAGAAAGGAAGGAGGTACTGCTTCACTGACTAGGCCTTGAAGGACAGGAAGTGGTCCAGTGGGTTCGACGGGATGAGGACAGGCCCAGTCAAGTGGACCTGATCCAGCTGGTGACGTCAAGGCAGCAGCAAGGACCGGCTGCAGAGACCCTTTCAGTACAAAACTGGAAGTGTTTGCCTCAGCGTTTCTGCAGAGCCAGCTGAGGGCTTATACAGTTCCATCCTTCTTTATTCAGTTCCCTGTCTCTTGGGGAAAGACTGCCAGTGGATTGAAAGGCTTGCACATGGTGGCAAAGGGAAGTGTTTCTTGGAGCTAGATTGGCCCTCGCTGTCCCCAGACTCAGGCCTCCCCATGCTGCCATTCCCTCCAGGGGAACTGATCTCTGTAGCATGAAGATCAGTTGTAATTCCAAGAGACCTTCAGGAGGTTAGCAACCCTAGCTCCAGTTGACATATAGGTCATGTTTTGTCCAAAAGGAAGAACAACTTTAATGCGGTGAATAAGTGTTTAGGGCATATAGGACTAGTGGGTTTGTGGCAAAGCCTTTTTCCAGCTTTTAGATGTTGTACTTTTCATTTAGGTATACACGTGTCCCACTGCCATCTTTATTAGCATCACCTAGAACCTGCTGCACAATGTTGAGGTGGCAGAAATTGGGCTGTTCTGCCCCTCTTTGGTTCTTTTTATCCTGGAGTGACCAAGTAGACATCCTCCCTCTTGGACACCAGATTGCTTGCTAGTGGGTAATAGAGAGGTAAAAGAAGATAGTATAAAGAGTGCCAAATTCCCCGTTTAAGGAGAAAGTTTTATTACAAACCTCAGCAGCTGTCAGATGGAATGCTTTCAAGGCAGTCACAAGGGGCCAGTTAATGAGCCTTAGAGAGAGAATGAGAGGCAAGAAATGGTGAAAGAAAAAGCAGATTTGGAAGACACATGTAAGAGAACTGGGATAGCCAGGATATGCCGGTGACTCACAGACAACAATTAGAAGCTTTTGTAATGGAAGGGGGGGGGGGGGAAAACAAGCCATGAGACACCATCAGCCAGTCTTTGAATATGACGAAAAGGATTCTACGTTATTGAGTAGATCTGTGAAAATTCTGCCACTGTATGTCCACTATTGCACATTAAAAAGGGGGCCCTAAAAATTCAGTGCAGAGCCACAGCAGGTGCCTTTTACTTCCTTCTGCAGAACCTTGTGCCACTCAGGTCCCTGGAGAACTCAAGAGATTACCGGAGTGGATATGTAGGTTCATATGGGAGAAGACAGTCCTTTCTACCCTCATAAGGGCCACGCCAAGGCAGCTAACAAATCAAAAACATACATAAAATCTTTAAAAACCATTGAAACCAACAAAAATGCATCATTAAAACAATTAAAACCAGCACTAAGATACACATACAAAAACGTAAAAACAACAATTATAACATCAGGCATAAAGAATGGATCACTCAACAAAGCAAAAAAGCATTCACTCACTGGCAGAAGAAGAGGATGGTTGAGTTCCAGAGTTTTTTGTGCCTTGACTGAGAAGGCCCTCTCCTAGATTGCCACCCACCTAATCTCAGAAGGCCCAAAGCAGGGCCTCCAAAGATTACTGTATGCTCATAAGGGAGCAGGCAGTTCTTCAGGTACGTTGGTCCCAAACCGTATAGGCTTTAGAGGTTAACACTAGCACCCTGAATTGTACCCAGGAACAGATTGGGAGCCAGTGTAGATAGGCCAAGACTGGAATAATATGGTCCCTGCAACCCACTCCAGTCAGCATCCTGGCTGCAGCACTCTGCGCCAATTGAAGCTTCTGAATACTCTTCAAGGGTGGCCCCACATAGGGCACATTGCAGTAATCTAATCTAGATATAACCAGGGAATGCACCACAGTAGCCAGATAATTTCTGCCCAGGAAGGGCCACAACTGGCTAACCAGTCGAAGCTGGTGAAAGGCACTCCTGGCCACAGTTGCCAACCGCTTATCCAGCAGTAGGCCTGGCTCCAAGAGCACCCTCAGACTATGGACCAGTTTCTTCTAGGGGAGTGCAGCCGCATCCAGAACAGATGACACCTTAAATTCCTGGTCAGACCTTCTGCTCACCGGTAGGACTTCTGTCTTGTCAGGCAAACTTTCAGTTTATTAGCCCACATCCACTTCAAATCTGCCTCCGGGTACTAGCTGAGGGTTTCTGCCAGCCTCCTTTGGATCAGCCAGAAGCACAAAATAAGAGTTGAGTTTCATCCACATATTAGCCCAAATCTCTAGAGGACCTCACCCTACCGATGTCTTGTTTCATGTAGATGATATATCGGGATAAAGATGAAAGCCTTGCAGGACCACACAGGCCAAGGGGCTGAGCAGCAGTCCCCCATTCTGAAACCCACCTCTCAGGATCCACTGGAGCTGGGCCTGAGTCCTGAGCTGTCTCGCTCTCCAGGGTTGCTTTTTGTTGGCAAGTGCCCCAGGATAGAGCCTCAGAACAGAGCAAGAGGAGAGGGTTTCCTTTCACCCAATCCCCCCCCCCACTGCTCTGCCAAGTACCTGTTCCACCCCTACCAGGGAATGAATCTGACCCTTCCTCCCTGGCTGCTCCTGGGAACACCTTTTAAATGCTTCCCCAAGGGAGGGACAACCCTGGGCTCAGCCAATCCTCTCTCCCCAACCCAGTCCAGGGGAGTGACAGCCCCCTGGGCCAGTGGATACTTGCCTTGGATTACTGAGCTCCCTGGCCCTTCCCCCTGAACTTCTTTAAAGAGCCGGCTCCCCTGCCCGACCTCCTCTAAGAGGGTCAGTGCTGCCTGCTGTCCCTGCCCCCCAGGCACAGCTCTGCTGGGTCTCAGTGCCAGGGTCCCCTTTGGTAGAAACTGGGCTGGGTTGGCTTCTGCTGCTGAGCATGCCACTGAGAGCCGGCTGGGCTCCTTTCAAGCCAGCTGACTCCCAAGTAGACTCAGTCAAGACTATACCCTGTTGCACCCTGGCAGAACTCCCCCAGCTCCAAGGCTTGCTGGTACAGTGCACCTTTGGTGGGGCTTGCAGTCCCCTGGGATAAGTGAGCGAGGAGTGGCGCCGACCCCGGACACAACCCTCTGGGAAGGATCAGAACCACAGCAAAATGGTGCCTTCCAGAAAAGTGGTCCAGAAGGATACTGTATTCAATGGTAGCAAAAGTTGCTGAGAGGTCCAGGAGAATCAACAGAGTCACACTCCCTCTGTCTCCCAGCGCAGGTCGCCTGCCAGGGTGACCAAGGCCGTTTGGGTCCCATAACCATGCCTGAGAACAGGCTGGAGAATATCCAAGCAATCTGCTCCATCCAGGGGAGCTTGAAGTTGTCCAGCCACTTCTTGTTCAATCGCATTGCTCAGTAATGGAATATTTGAGACTGGTGGACAGTTACTGAGATCTTCCGGGTTCAGGGTAGGCTTCTGTCAGCAAGCTGCCATTCTGTTTTATTACTGAGATCTTCCGGGTTCAGGATAGGCTTCTTTAGGGGTGGACGCACCACAGCCTGTTTCGACCAGGTGGTAGGCCTCAAACGTCCAAGGATCCCGTCCATATCCTCAGACTGAATAAGCTGAAGAGTATCCCAAACAGCTGGACAAGTTGGCTCCCTGACTCTGCTCATGCAGAGCCCAAGTCAGAAGAGCATTGAGAGATTTTACCTGCAAAGTGCTGAGCAAAACACTTGTAAACTCAAGACAGAAGAAGAAGAAGAAATTGGATTTATTCCCCACCCTTCACTTGGAGTCTCAGAATGGCTTACAAACTCCTTTCCCTTCCCCTCCCCTCAACAGACACCCTGTGAGCTAGGTGGGACTGAGAGAGCTCTGAGAGAAACTGCTCTTTTTCAAGAACACCTTTGACAGAACTATGGCTTGCCCAAGGTCGTCCAGCAGCTGCAAGTGGGGAATCAAACCCAGTTCTCCCAGATTAGAGTCTGCGCACTTAACCACTATGCCAAACTGTATTTACTATCTGCGCTGTATGTGGGACTGTCCTTGAAGGTAACCAGGAGACTTCAGCTGGCACAAAATGCAGTGGCTCCTCTTTTGACTCTGTGGCATGGAGCAGGGCTCACATATAGCATCAATTTCATAACAGTGGCACAGACTGCTCGTTCCTTGCCGGGCTGCATTCCCATTGCTGGCTTTAACCTTTAAATCCCTTGACAAACTGGGCCCCACATGTTTAAAAGGAGCATTGTCATAAATCCGCCCTGGGTCTCTGTGTGCTTTCAGGCGTGTCGATCGTTAGTGGGCATGTCAAGCGTGTTCCTCTTCATTATGCCACCACCCCATGTTAAAAATCCAGCCTCCCTCCTACATTACCAATGCCTTGGGGAACGCTAGAAAAAGCTGCCTCTGAGTAAGTACAAAGGGCTGAGTTTCCCAATTACTTCAGTCCATCCCCTGTGCGTGTCCATGAGCATGAGTGAGTAAGGCACACGAGGAGGAAAAGACTTCAGCGCTACAGATTTAAGATCGAGCACAGACAGAGAAAATGCTGTCCACCCTGCTGGTTACAGATCTAAGGGAAAGAATAGTAAAAACATAACACTAAGCTAAACTTAATAATACAGAAGAGTTACCTCCGCCATCCCTCCCAGATGGCTGTGCAACAAATGTACATCCTGACCCCCAGCTGCTCCATGCAGGGGAATCCAACCTCCAGCATTTGTACAAAGACTAATGGATGTTCCAACCTTTTAACCTTTCCTGCCTTTGCTGGCGGGAAGCCTCTCTCAATCCAGTTTTAGGGGACTTTGCCCACATGAGGAGGTAAACCTCAGTTTCCCAATCAACCTAGGGTACGTGTCCCACACATCTCAGTACAACAGCTGTTCATCTTGCCCTCCCTGGCAGGTTGGCAAATGGTTATCTCTCTGCAGAAATATATGTCTGCTCATTGACCTTTTGCTGCATTTTTTCAGGATCCCAGGAACTCCCTAATGCACTTCAAAATACCTTACAACTCCAAATCACAACAGGCATTGTCCTGTGTAGACCTACTCATGGCATCACTTGGCCCAACGCTTCCTTTGGAATTTCCCTTCTTTTCGGGAAAATGAATCCCAGATCTTACTCCTAGTCTGATATGCTAACCACTTCATCACACTGTATGTGTCAGTTTATACAAGGATGAGCAGCTGGTCGGGAAGGGAAAATATGCTGGGCAATTATTTTTATACTGTTCAGTACTGCAAAATAAAAATGAAAAATATGTTTTTTTTTTTAAAGTCCGTATTCCTTTTGTTCTCTCTTCCTACAGATCCTGACTGGGCGAGTTTAAATCTGGGAGCTCTCATGTGCATCGAGTGCTCAGGAATACACCGGAACCTTGGCACCCACCTGTCGCGCGTCCGATCCCTCGACTTGGACGACTGGCCTGTTGAGCTGATCAAAGTGATGTCCTCCATTGGGAACGAGTTGGCCAATAGTGTGTGGGAAGAAATGACCCAGGGGCGTGTGAAGCCCTCCCCAGATTCCACAAGGTAGGCTGTTAACAGTGTACAAGGCAAGTTTCAAAAACATTTATTTTATTTATTTATACATTCGATTTATAGACCGCTCTGACCCCGAAGGGTCTCTGAGCGGTTTACATGCGGGTTCCAAATACACTATTCCCTAACTAAGGCCACATAGATACAGGGGTTGGGGCTGCCTACCGGCACCCAGGTGGCAGGGCTAGTTGTATTTCTGGCTCCGGTTCCTTCCTCCAGCGGCTGAACATCTGGTTCAGCCTGCAATAACAGGCGTGTGAACTTGAAGCACTGTTGTTCTCACTGTCCACAGTGTTAAGAGACAGAAAGCGTTGTGTGATGCTTGGAGGAGCCCTTCTTCTCTTGGTTTCTACCATGCTCTATTTCCTCCAGAAAGCTCAGTGTGGCGAGAGAAGTTTGGAGTGGCCGGGGGACCTCCCAAGGTGCTTCATAAGCTAGGATTGCCAACCTCCAGGCAGGGCCTGGAGATCTCCCACTTTTACAACTCCTCTCCAGCTGACAGAGATCAGTTCCCCTGGAGAAACTAGCTGCTTTGAAGGGTGGACTCTATGGCATCGTACCTGGCTGAGGCCCCTCCCCTCCCCAAACCCCACCCTCTCCCGGATCCACCCCCAAAGTCTCCAGGTATTTTCCACCACAGACCTGGCAACCCTATTTATAGCTCTGTGGTAAATTTCCTCTTTGGTTTTCCTCCAAGATCAGCACTAACCTCAGAACCATAAGAGCATCCAACAACTAGGTCATATGAGGGTGATGCCCAAATTAAGTGGAAAAGAGTGCTAAAAACAAAGTAGTGTGGCTTTACAAAGCCCTTTGACCAAGCATTTATCTTTCTTCAGTCAAGGGAGAATGAAGACAATAAGAGCCTTTCCAAAACTGATGTCTTTTTTTTTTGGCCACCTAAGTAGCACTGATGTTTCGATGGATGTACGGAACAATCTGGAACATTACCACTCATAACTCTCTGCCTGCACTTATTCCCCCTTGAGAGCCCTTCAGTGGCTGGCTTGTCAGCATTTTTAGTACCTTATAGGTTAGAACTGAAGAAAATGGATATCATGTTCTTCTACTGTTCCC